TACATTATAATGATCTGAAAATGAGGAGTGGCTGGGACAAGGGGAGGAGGAGGGATGAAAAACCACGTCTTTAACCACCATCAAGATGGAACGGAGTGACGCTCACATGGGAGCCTGGTCACTTGGCAAGCACAAGTATCCTAAAGGGTATTGGGTATAATCCAAATAAATGCCACCCCAAGTCCCAGGCCCCCAAAAGAAATAAAAAGTACACAACGGGGAGAAGAAGCATAAAAATTCTATTTGCAAGCAAATATTTCCTTTATGCCTTTTCTCCCTTATAAATTATATGAACAACCCAAATATGCTGCCTTGCCTGAGCTATGTTTACTGGGAAAAATTATAACCAATCAACAATTGGAGTAAATGGCTATGGGCAAAATCCCATAGCCGCATTTATTTAAAATTACTGTTCAATCAAATCCTTGATACAAAGTTTGGCCCAGTAAAGGTGAGGGCACTGAAAACGCCAAAAATTACATTATAATGATCTGAAAATGAGGAGTGGCTGGGACAAGGGGAGGAGGAGGGATGAAAAACCACGTCTTTAACCACCATCAAGATGGAACGGAGTGACGCTCACATGGGAGCCTGGTCACTTGGCAAGCACAAGTATCCTAAAGGGTATTGGGTATAATCCAAATAAATGCCACCCCAAGTCCCAGGCCCCCAAAAGAAATAAAAAGTACACAACGGGGAGAAGAAGCATAAAAATTCTATTTGCAAGCAAATATTTCCTTTATGCCTTTTCTCCCTTATAAATTATATGAACAACCCAAATATGCTGCCTTGCCTGAGCTATGTTTACTGGGAAAAATTATAACCAATCAACAATTGGAGTAAATGGCTATGGGCAAAATCCCGTAGCCGCATTTATTTAAAATTACTGTTCAATCAAATCCTTGATACAAAGTTTGGCCCAGTAAAGGTGAGGGCACTGAAAACGCCAAAAATTACATTATAATGATCTGAAAATGAGGAGTGGCTGGGACAAGGGGAGGAGGAGGGATGAAAAACCACGTCGTTCACAACCATCAAGATGGAAAGGAGTGACGCTCACATGGGAGCCTGGTCACTTGGCAAGCACAAGTATCCTAAAGGGTATTGGGTAAAATCCAAATAAATGCCACCCCAAGTCCCAGGCCCCCAAAAGAAATAAAAAGTACACAACGGGGAGAAGAAGCATAAAAATTCTATTTGCAAGCAAATATTTCCTTTACGGATTATTTGATCATTCTGAAATGACAGTCTACTCCCACATGCCAAGTGAATGGGAAAACACAGAGCGACTTACATTTCGCAAAATCAGCCTGCTGAGTTAATTATTTACGTATCCCATGGAAGGTTATTGAATGATAGTCTAAAAATCATAATAATAAGTATTTCCCTGTATTTTTCCTCTACATTCTTTTCTTTTTGGTCACTTTGTGATCATCCTTCCGTTTCATTTTGATCAATGTTTCAGACAAATTTCTTTTTCAAAATTCCACAAAAACAAGAGGCTTCCTAATGGCATTTTTCATGCACAAATAGTCTTTGAAGAAAATAGTACACAGGAACAGTTCATTAATAAACCTATTGTCTTGCTCAATTTTAATTAATAATAAGTGACTATAAGAATTAGACTGCACTTCACCGTTTTCTCTCTGCATGAACCTAACAGTGCCAGAGATGGGCTACTAACGGTTGATGCATTTATCTCACTTTGTTTTAAATGTCTTTTAAAAAGCAAACTATCGCGATAAGTGGGTAAAAAAAAACTTCATTTTTACCAAGACCCTTTAGATGGCCTGCCATCGCTAGCAGTATCCTTCTTTCATATTCCTTCTTTTGTTGTTTGGAGGCTGGTTCTACTCCTTGATAGTTGCAAACTATGGTGAGTTAAACTAAACATTATTTTGTGTGGTTTGGATGAAAATGTAGATTATGGCAACTCCTGAATTAATGCAAATCTGGAGTTCGAGGAAAGCAAGGGCCAGACGAATAGAAATCAAAAGTCATGTGCTTTTCGTGCATGATTTTGATTGACCACATTTATAGGGCTGAAGTAAAAATCTGATATGGCCATCAGGAAGAAACTTGAAGCCAACGAGATTTGGTATTTTGTCGATAAGTATAGTTCGTTAAAGTTGATAAAGATGGAAAACACGACTTTACGAAACTTTGACTGACAAATTCAAGAACTTTCTAGACGAGTTGTAACAAAATGTTTACCGATCCTGTGCGAGAGCATAATTCGGAGTATTTTGATTCTAACTTTTCGGCGACGTTTCCTAACTTTTAAATTTATTGACTCGAATTTATTTAGATCAGTTCCATCATAAACAATAGATGAATACGTAATAAAAGCTGTAGCTTTGAGAGCAAAGAAACATATTTTCTGGTTCTTTTCAACGATCCAAAAGTTTGTTCCCTAACAAGTCGAGCTTGCCGACAAACATTGTTGAATAATTTTGATAGCAATGACTAAGACCTTGTAACTTGAGGCCAAAAAATCAAGAACTGCAATCTTGATTAAAATTTTTTTTGTTTCTCAAGCATAACCTTTTGTAGTTTTTATTAATTAAAAGTCTCTAAAGCCATTAGATTCGTGAATGAATCACGGTGCCAAGAAACGCAATGAGTATGAAAACTCTTAGAAGCACTTCATATCGTCGTATCTTTTAACTGCAGAGGGTTCAGGAGTGTTTGAGTACAATTTTTCTCCATTTATGAAACCATAGTTAATCGATTAACTATGATCAAACTAATAGATTATTCATTCAAATCGCTTTATGAAGAACAAACAAAGGCATCCTGTAGCATGCGGAAAACGAGGAAAAACACTTTGAATATTATGACTTTTGCTTGGATCATCAAGAGAGTGTGAAATTTTTTTTTTCCGTAATAGTTTACTTCTTTTGAGAAAAAGGTACAAAAAAGTGAAAATACCCTATACCTAAGAAATAGCTTTGTTTGTTAAAATTTCAGGAATCTCTTACCAACAAAGTGACTTTGAACATTTTTGAAATGGATTTAATCCATAGCGAAAAATTAATTATAAAACAGAGAAAAACATCATTAGACTACAACTTTTGTTTTTGCACGTCCCCGTTGCCTTCAACGTCGTGGTTAAGTCCCTATTTTGTAAACTCAGAGGCAGTTGATTGATATGTGATGAATGATTTACCGCGTGTAAGAAAACAAAATGGCTCCTGTAGATTAGGTTCCGTGGGGGGTCCCTTCGAAAGAAAAAAAATGCCTCAACTAACTCAGAATACAGTGACTCATCACTCTTTTCTTTTTCTTTAATTTCTAGAAGGTCTCTATCTTCAAGAAATTAAAGAAAAGGAAAATAGTGACGGAAGGTCACAATTAATTTCAACCAAAACATAATTTCTTTCTTGTTTACGTCAGTATTCCGATTTCTTTAGAAGAATTGCAAGAATGTTATCCACTTTAAACTATTTTTTTCACAGACGCTTGTGAATTTCATAGGGTAAAACCCGACGTGAGTAAGAACATAACATTTCCTAATATAGCAATGTCAAGGGAAAAGGCCATCGATTATTCATGACTTTTGATTCGTTTTAAGATAACACTCTCTTGTTTTTTTCCATCCAAAACTTAGAAATGGGCGAAAGATCCTAATGACTCTTTCGTCCTTAATTAATATCGTCTGAATCATTTTCGTGCCCTCAAGAACGTGACGAAACTAATAGAAAAATCGCTTTCCTCTTTCCGATGGCCTCTCTAGAGAGGTACTCCCTTATTCACATGCGATCCAGGCAATAGTTCAGCGAAAGGCAAGGTATTTCAAAAAATTTCTTGAGTTGAACTAGCCTGTTAAAGAAAATTAAGCAAGAAAACAAAGTATTCATTGTCCACGTGGAATAATTCATTATTATTCCTTACACAAATGGGGCCGTCGTCGTTGAAAGTAGCAGCAAATCAACCAGACATTCCTTTAAACTATTCGACACACGTGGTAAGCCACATCCCTTCCCACTGACGAAAGAATACCTTCTGAAAGAGTATCAAGATGTCTTTACTGGACTTGGCTGTTTCCCTGGCCCCCTATACCATATAGAAACTAAGTCGGATATTCCCCCAGTACAACACCCCCCACGGCAGATTCCAGTCACCTGCAAAGTGCCTACCGAGAAGAACTTCTACGGCTAACACAGGCAGGCATTTTAGTAGAAATACATGATGAGTATACACCATGGGTCAATTCAACAGTGGTCATAAGAAA